GTAGGGGAAACCGGAGCACCAGGAGGAAACCTACGCAGACACAGGGGAAAACTCCACTCAGAAAGGCCCTGTTCCAACTGGGATTTGAACCCAGGACCTTTTGGCTGAGAAGCTAGAGTGCCATCAACTCCCTTTGCACATGTATTCCAATGTGGTTTTACTGCAAATGGCAAATAAACTGAATCTACTACTACTGATGCTGAACTGCATTTCGTTGCATCGTTCAGACTTTGTAATAACAATAAAGTTTAATTTAATCTGAATCTGATTAAATAAAGTTAAAATTTGAATGCGATTTTACCCCAGATACAATCCATAAGAGAGGACATATCCTGGCATTGCCGCGTGTTATTACAGGTACTTTGAGTTCACAGATTTCTATTTTCCGCTTTCTTTTCGGCACCTTACACGACATAGCACATCAAAGCGCTCAATGCCCTGCACCGCGGCGGCTCCCGAGAAATCCAGCACCTCGTCTTGTGATTCCATCAAGGTGACATTGTTCAAAAAGCATCCGTCTCCGAGAAGGCGACGAAGTGGAGTCCTCTCGGTGACAGCGACCGGTGATCCAGGCTCTGAGGAAGCGGACCGTGGAAAAAAGGCACTACACAGGATTTTCATTATTTATATCAAAGGCATGAGCAGACAGACGGGGGAGGGCAGGGGAGGGCAGGGCCAGGAGGGGGCAGGGCCTAAGTCACAACCACAAAAGGAAAAAAACAACCTGAATTTTTGCTGTCGTCTGCAACTGACCAGACTGGGATGTGGGAAAGGATGAAGTACGGAGCCATCCATCCATTTTATTCCCCTTAACCCATTTCTGGGTGGAGGGGCTGAGTTCACAGGAGCCCTGATCTTTCAGCGGGGGCTTCAGGCAAAGTGGAGTTAAGTGTCTTGCCCAAGAACTCAACGACAGCAGACATTAGTGGGAGTCCTGAAGTAGGTCTCATGGTGGGCTCGAACCCACAACCTTCAGACCCAAAGCCCAATGCTCTACCAACTGTTGTTAGAGCATTGGTCAGTCTGGTAATTGTCTCAGGGTGGAGCCATTACAAGAAAATTTACAAAAATAACAAATATATGTTCCCTCCCGCCGCCTCAGATCCACTGACTCCAACCTCCTCACTCCCCTCAGGACTAAACACCGAACCTTGGGGGGCCGAGCCTTCGCTGCAGCTGCCCCCACTCTCTGGAACTCACTCCCTCAACCCGTCAGAAACTCAGACTCACTACAGAACTTTAAATCTCTCCTAAAAACCCACCTGTTTCATCTTGCCTTTCCCTAATTTTGTTTTTCAATGTTTATTTCTACGTGTTTTGTAAAGCGTCTTTGAGTGTCCAAAAAAGCGCTATATAAGTTTGATGCATTATTATTATTATTATTAAATATATAATAATAAATAGAATATTGTCTGAATGTGTGACATAGAACCACATGTGTCACCGTGTCCCGGAGCCACAACTATATATTTCGAGTCTGTACAAATGTCACTGATAATTCACAGGTAACTTTGTCACTATAGTCACTTTACCTGTTATTAGTATCACTGCATTAATACACATCCATCTGATACTTCTGCCATTCACCAGTCACTTTACCTGTTGACATTATTTCTGATGCTTATTCTGCTCATATTCATATTCTCATATTATCCGCTGCTAAAATACAATATATACATCTGTAAATACTTCTGAACCAAGTGCAATTATAGCCCAGAGTTTAGTTTATTCTATGTTGTTATGTTATTTTATTTTATTTTATTTTATTTTATTGTATTTTTATTTATTTTTTTATTTTTTTATTTTTTATTTTTATTCTATTTTATTTTATTTTATTTTATCTTATTTTATTTTATTTATAATTATAAACTCAATGTGATGAGTGCAATCTGAGTCTTTTTTCCTTCTTTCTCTGCTGTAATGTGCGCAACGATGACACTGACATTTCTCCACTGCGAGGCCAATAAAGGTATATCTTATCTAATCTTATCTTATCTCTTGCCCTAAAATAAGACAAGATAAACTGTATTGTTTCACAGCAAGAAGGTCATGGGTTCAATTCCACCTCCAGATATTCCCCCTACAATATATACAGTATTCTACCCTTGCTCTCAGTATGGGCCCCCTGAGGTTTCTCACTTTTTTCACACTGTTTTTTTTTTTGAGTGGTTCCTCGCAGTTACAGGAGAGTTTAAGGACACGGAAAGGACATTTATGGACATTTATTTACATTTATGAACAGAGGTCGTCCCACTCCCTTTGGACCAACGGCTCCTGTGTGTTTGTTATCAATGCATTTCTTGAGTTTGAACCGATTCTCTGATCTGTTGTTGTTCAATCTACAACTTTGTAAAGTCCCCCCAGGCGGCCGCTGTTGCGTTTTAGAGCTACACACAAAAAAAACACATTGGTTTTCAGTATATTGTTTGCATTCCCGCTCGCCGCCACACTCACTACATTACATCCAGTGTCAAAATACAGCCTTTAAACTATGTAAATTCTCCTTGCTCTCAAAAAAGCTAATTCAACCCACACTCCCAGAGTTAATTACGAACAGTGGACACACGGGTGATAAAAGCCCGTGTAAAGGCCATGTTATCCAAATGTATTAGTTTATATTACCAGAGCTTTGCAATCATAAAGGTCACATACAGAGCAGTACCCATTACCTAGCATACCACTGGAAAGAACATTCTATTGCCCTCTGTCTCGCTGGGTCAGTGCTGCCGCTAATCCCGACGGGAAACGCCACAGATACGTTTCTCAGCGTCAATTTTCACTCCTGGAAATGGCGCTTGTTGAGTCTCATTTGGTTCAAAGTTAATTCCGATAACACTGTCGTTTATTGCTGCTATCTCACAATTAGCCGCGCCGTTTTCCGCCCAGTTTGTGTAATGAATTCAAATGGTATTTCTGGCATCAAACTTTTTAATTATTCTCTATTGTCTCCGCTGTGTGTTTGTGTTTGTGCAATTCTCCTAATGATATATGATGTTGTTGTTGTTGAGACGGAAAGGCGTGGAGAAAGATTAAGATCTGTGTCATTGAGCTCGGTTCCATTGTTTTAACGTCAACTTGTGAAGAGAACACTTTAGAAATGCAGTTCCAAAATACTGAATACAGGACCTAAAATACTGAATACAGGACCTAAAATACTGAATACAGGAGTTAAAATACTGAACACAAGACCTAAAATACTGAATACAGGACCACAGGACCTAATACTCTGAATACAAGACCTGAATACCTTAAAAAAAAAACTGTACCTGTTTAATGAATACTTAGAATACTTGTATTTATACTTTTAATTAGTTTTGTATTATTTATATATTGTAAATTAATGTCTATTTAAAAAATAAAAGAAAAACATAAAAACCATGACTTCAATACATGTTTAAATAAATAAAAGCTGTCTGTAATTATTTGATAATTTGTTATTTATTTTTTAACAGGTCAAAGTTGTTCAACAGCTGCATTTAACCACCAGAAAAAATATATTCTTCACTTTTAAAAAATACCATGTTTTTGTTTCTTTAATCTTGTCCCGTGAATGTCAGAAAGAACTTGTATTCTGTATTAGTTTTTATTTATTTAAATATATATATCATTCTGTAATTGTATTTGAAACACTGGACTTTAAAGTAGTAACTGTAATGTGTAATGGATTACAGTTACTCAGAAGCAGTTTTAAGTATTGAGATGCAGCTGATAATAACTAGTGTGTTTTGCGGCGTTAAGTCTCCAGAGACGGCAGCCACAGCGATTCAGAGGATCGTGATTCTACTCTAGAGGAAAAAGAACACACTTTAATTAACTGAGAGTGTTGTCACTGATCTCACCGGCTTTTTAGAAATTAGATGATGTGTGTTTAGTGCGGTATGTTTGTCAAAGTTTAAAATATGGATGCAAGATATAAAATCTACACAGCCTGAGTCCTGGATCTGAAGCCTCAGTCCTGGATCTACAGCCTCAGTCTTGGATCTACAGCCTCAGTCCTGGATCTGCAGCCTCAGTCCTGGATCTACAGCCTCAGTCCTGGATCTGCAGCCTCAGTCCTGGATCTACAGCCTCAGTCCTGGATCTACAGCCTCAGTCTTGGATCTACAGCCTCAGTCTTGGATCTACAGCCTCAGTCTTGGATCTACAGCCTCAGTCCTGGATTCACAGCCTCAGTCCTGGATCTACAGTCTCAGTCCTGGATCCACAGCCTCAGTCCTGGATCTACAGCCTCAGTCCTGGGTCTACAGCCTCAGTCCTGGATCTACAGCCTCAGTCCTGGATCTACAGCCTCAGTCTTGGATCTACAGCCTCAGTCTTGGATCTACAGCCTCAGTCCTGGATTCACAGCCTCAGTCCTGGATCTACAGTCTCAGTCCTGGATCCACAGCCTCAGTCCTGGATCTACAGCCTCAGTCCTGGATCTACAGCCTCAGTCCTGGGTCTACAGCCTCAGTCCTGGATCTACAGCCTCAGTCCTGGATCCACAGCCACAGCAGTAATTTCAAAACGCTGCAGCTCGAGTCCTGACTAGAACCAGGAAGTATGATTGCATTAGTTCAGAGCACAGGGACTGGCCTCCTGCTGGTCCCAGAGTCAGGACTAAACATGAGGAGGCAGCATTTCAGATTCATGCAGCTAAAATCTAAAACAGTCTTCCTGAAAATGTGAGACTGGCTTCTTTTGTCCTATTTAGGGTCATACACAAATAAATACATGTAAATCCATGTATTGAGTTTATTTATAGAAGTAAATAAACAAAACGTTTCTCAGTGGTGCATTATTATATATAGCATTTATAATAATTGTTCTGTATTTACCAAATGCCATCTTCATATTGTCCGTACGGTAAAGAGCCAGAGCCACGCCCGCCTCACTTATGGTGCCATTACCATAAATACTGTGTGTACAAACTGCCACTTCCATCTCCGCGGGGCCCAGAGGTCATTGCCTTCGTATAAACGTAAAGCCATAAACATTTATGACTTATTCAGACATGCTTTTTAAAACACGCCGCCTCGACCAGTGCCACGCTCCATCCACACCATCGTCGACCAGTGCCACGCTCCATCCACACCATCGTCGACCAGTGCCACGCTCCATCCACACCATCGTCGACCAGTGCCACGCTCCATCCACACTATCGTCGACCAGTGCCACGCTCCATCCACACCATCGTCGACCAGTGCCACGCTCCATCCACACCATCGTAGACCAGTGCCACGCTCCATCCACACCATCGTAGACCAGTGCCACGCTCCATCCACACTATCGTCGACCAGTGCCACGCTCCATCCACACCATCGTAGACCAGTGCCACGCTCCATCCACACCATCGTAGACCAGTGCCACGCTCCATCCACACCATCGTCGACCAGTGCCACGCTCCATCCACACCATCGTCGACCAGTGCCACGCTCCATCCACACCATCGTCGACCAGTGCCACGCTCCATCCACACCATCGTCGACCAGTGCCACGCTCCATCCACACCATCGTCGACCAGTGCCACGCTCCATCCACACCATCGTCGACCAGTGCCACGCTCCATCCACACCATCGTCGACCAGTGCCACGCTCCATCCACACCATCGTCGACCAGTGCCACGCTCCATCCACACCATCGTCGACCAGTGCCACGCTCCATCCACACCATCGTCGACCAGTGCCACGCTCCATCCACACCATCGTCGACCAGTGCCACGCTCCATCCACACCATCGTAGACCAGTGCCACGCTCCATCCACACCATCGTCGACCAGTGCCACGCTCCCATCCACACCATCGTAGACCAGTGCCACGCTCCATCCACACCATCGTCGACCAGTGCCACGCTCCATCCACACCATCGTCGACCAGTGCCACGCTCCATCCACACCATCGTCGACCAGTGCCACGCTCCATCCACACCATCGTCGACCAGTGCCACGCTCCATCCACACCATCGTCGACCAGTGCCACGCTCCATCCACACCATCGTCGACCAGTGCCACGCTCCATCCACACCATCGTCGACCAGTGCCACGCTCCATCCACACCATCGTCGACCAGTGCCACGCTCCATCCACACCATCGTCGACCAGTGCCACGCTCCATCCACACCATCGTAGACCAGTGCCACGCTCCATCCACACCATCGTCGACCAGTGCCACGCTCCATCCACACCATCGTAGACAGTGCCACGCTCCATCCACACCATCGTCGACCAGTGCCACGCCATCAACACGTCGACCAGTGCCACGCTCCATCCACACCATCGTCGACCAGTGCCACGCTCCATCCACACCATCGTCGACCAGTGCCACGCTCCATCCACACCATCGTCGACCAGTGCCACGCTCCATCCACACCATCGTAGACCAGTGCCACGCTCCATCCACACCATCGTAGACCAGTGCCACGCTCCTTCCACACCATCGTAGACCAGTGCCACGCTCCATCCACACCATCGTCGACCAGTGCCACGCTCCATCCACACCATCGTCGACCAGTGCCACGCTCCATCCACACTATCGTAGACCAGTGCCACGCTCCATCCACACTATCGTAGACCAGTGCCACGCTCCATCCACACCATCGTCGACCAGTGCCACGCTCCATCCACACCATCTTTGTGAAATAAGGACGTGAAATGTTGTTCTGTTCTGCGGCTGGAAAGGAACTATTGAACATTTACTTTCATTGATAAACAACTAACATACAGACGGGACACACAAGGGTTCAGGTCTCTCTCTGGTCTCTCTCTTTGGTCTCTCTCTGGTCTCTCTGGTCCCTCTCTGGTCTCTCTCTGGTCTCTTTCTCTGGTCTCTCTCTGGTCTCTCTCTTTGGTCTCTCTCTTTGGTCTCTCTCTGGTCTCTCTCTAGTCTCTCTTTAAAATCCTTCTCTGGTCTCGCTCTGGTCTCTCTCTTTGGTCTCTCGCTGGTCTCTCTCTCTAGTATCTCTTTGGTCTCTCTCTGGTCTCTCTCTGGTCTTTCTCTGGTCTCTCTTTGGTCTCTATCTGGTCTTTCTCTGGTCTCTCTCTGGTCTCTCTCTTTGGTCTCTCTCTAGTTTCTCTCTGGTCTCTTTCTGGTCTTTCTCTGGCGTCTCTCTGGTCTCTCTTTGGTCTCACTCTGGTCCCTCTGGGCGGCACGGTGGCTGAGTGGATAGCACTCTCGCCTCTCAGCAAGAAGATCCTGGGTTCGAATCCCGGGCGGACCAGGGCCTTTCTGAGTGGAGTTTGCATGTTCTCCCCGTGTCTGCGTAGGTTTCCTCCGGGTACTCCGGTTTCCCCTACCACTAAAAACATGCACAATAGTTCTGGCATGCGCCTCCTGTACTGGCCCCTCCCATCTCTGTGTGGAGTGAGAGACAAATGCCCAAAAATAACAATTGTAAACTGCTTTGAGACTCAGATCTGTGAAAGGCGGTATATAAATAAAGATTACTTACTTACTTAATTACTCTTGTCTCTCTCTCTGGTCTCTCTCTCTGGTCTCTCTCTCTCTCCTCCCTCTAGTCTCTCTCTGGTCCCTCTCTCCTCTCTCTGGCCTCTCTCCTCTCTCTGGTCTCTCTCTGGTCCCTCTCTCCTCTCTCTGGCCTCTCTCCTCTCTCTGGTCTCTCTCTGGTCCCTCTCTCCTCTCTCAGGTCTCTTTCTAGTCTCTCTTTTGTCTCTCTCTGGTCTCTCTCCTCTTTCTCTCATCTCTCTGGTCTCCCTCTGTTCTCTCTCTCCTCCCTCTGGCCTCTCTCCTCTCTCTGGTCTCTCACTGCTCCCCTCCCCTCTCTCTTTCTGGTCTATCATCGAGCAAACTATTAAACACATACACTTTGACCATTAGCACAGACGACACACATGGTCCCGGCGACCACACGGGGGAAAAGACCGTAAACCGTTAGCGAGCGGGAGCAAGAGCAATAGCAAAGGTTAGCACACAGTGGCAAGGTTAGCCGCTTCCAATATCCATGAGAGGCCCGTCCCTTTATGTGATATTGAGTTTTCGCCGCGAGGCCCATTTGTGTCCGGTTCCACTGCTCGTTGCCGCTGATTTACAAGGCTCTGGCATCTATTCATCTATGTTTAACATCTCCGAGGCCAAAGGTTCACCTGCCTCGTCGCCGTCCCACTGGAGCTTATTAACCGCGGCGGCTAACAGGAGCACTCCCAGTTAATTACATAAATGGATATGTACGAGCCAAAATGTAGCACATCCTGGTTTTATCCCATAAATCTCAAAGTCCGTGCTCCTCCAGCAGCAGCAGCAGAAGCCACTAACGGCGTCTCAAGTCCGTTCCAGCTCCCTTTTTAATTCCGTCTCTAAATAATGTTGTTTTTGGCCTGTGTAACCATTTATACACGGTTTACCCAGTCTGTGCTCGAGCCATTATCAATATCTTTGTTGAGAGTCGATCGTTTTGAGGTTTTTGGTGTTAGAACAATGTCTTACTTGCTAACTCCAGTTCAGGGCTACGTCTTGTGTTCTGCACGATAAATCAAACGTAGAAGTATTTCCCATTTGCACTGCCATAGGAAGATTGTGAATAGTAGACGATACCTATTGCATTTGTACCTATATCTTTGTCACTTTATTGAATTTCCAGTCTTTTTGCACACCCAGTGATCTCATTGAACCCAATGTCACAAGTAAATGTCTCTTTTGTGAAATCCATAACGTTTTATTTTATCCCCTTTTATCTTATTTGGTTGAATCCCACGTTTTTCTTACAAGTTAAAGGAGGCGGACGGCGCAGTCGCAAAGAGATTTTCACTTGTGCTTCACAAAGATTCGACTCCACAAGGCCTGCCTCTCCACGTCTGCGTAGGTTTTCTCCAGGTGCTCCAGTTTACAGTACCGCTAGGGGTGAATGAGTGTGTGTTTGTGAGTCCAACAAGGCTAGAATATGGTGTATTTACGAGCAAACCTATACCTTCTGTCACTTATTCAATTCAATTCAATTCAATACTTTATTTCGGACACACAGTAAAAGGTCCATATTAGAAGACATATAACAACAAGAAAAACAAAAACACACTTAAAAAATAACAAGTACAAGTTAAAGGATAAGTCATTTCCTGTATAGGCTCTGAAGCCAGTGAGTCCATAGGTTATTGATACCTCTGGACACGTATCAATAATCCTCACTCTTAAATGTATATTGTATGTGTTTATACATAGGAGTTATAGGAGTTGTGGCCCCATATACCAAAGACAATTCCTAGTTTGATTCAGAGCCTTAACATTAGTCTCTACAAGACGTTACTTACATGTTTTTACCATTAGAGAAGTGAAAAAGAGATGAACCACCTTCTCTAAGCCAATCAACTCTCAGTATGTACAAGAACAAAGGTTTTCTAACAATGTAACTACAGCATGTTGTGGCTCCTCCAGCTTTAATATCGGCTAATTGAATTGGACGAGTAAAATATATATCTGTGTCGAGAATGTGAACCTCTGTCCCAAGACAAATTTCTCTCCTGGGAACAATAAAGAAGTATTTGAGTGAGTGAATCGTCTTTAGAAGCCGGGACGAAAACTCTGTATTCTTAGACAGTCGACTAACTTGGCGTTAGCGAGTCTGTCGGGACTTAAACAAACCCACAACGTCGTGCAGAGTGACCGTAAGTGAAATGGTTATTAATACATTTCTTTTATGTTGCAGACAGAAGCTCCCACCTCAGTGCACAACCCAGCCAAACAATTAACGCTTCATAAATATGCTGACGAACGCCTTTGATGCTTAAAAATATATGTTAAAAATAGACGTCGCAGGAGAGACCGAGCTGTGTTCTTTAGAAGTCTTGCTTTCGAGGTAATTTGAAAGCTATAAAAGAGTCAAAATAGTGAATAACAAAGCTCAGGAGTCACGGGGAGAATTCTCCAAACTCAGCTCGTCCACAGGGTTTGGAAATGGAGGCAGGAGAAGCCAAAACAAGGGCTAACATTTGAATCTATGGTATAACTAGCTTCAGTATGTTGCTGGTTGTCCCTTGTCTTTCCCAAAGCCAGTATCGACTCTGGAACTACCAGCTGAGTTCCTATGAAAAGGAAGTGTGCATATTAATTGAGATTGAGAACTGGTAAATCACAACAAATTGTTAATCTGGTCTCTCCCTGGTCTCTTTCTGGTTAATCTTTGGTCTCTCTCTCTGGCCTCTTTCTAGTCTCTCTCTGGTCTCTTCCTAGTCTCTCTCTCTGGTCTCTCTCTCTAGTCTCTCTCTCTGGTCTCTCTTTCTGGTCTCCCGCTGGTCTCTCTCCCTGGCCTCTCTCTGGTCTCTCTCTCTCTGGTCTCTCTCTGGCCTCTCTCTCTCTGGTCTCTCTCTGGTCCCTCTCTCTCTGTTCTCTCTCTGGCCTCTCTCTCTCTGGTCTCTCTCTGGTCTCTCTCTCTGGTCTCTCTCTGGTCCCTCTCTCTCTGTTCTCTCTTTGGTCTCTTTCTGGTCTCTCTCTGGCCTCTCTCTGGTCCCTCTCTCTCTGGTCTCTCTCTCCCTGGTCTCTTTCTAGTCTCTCTCTGGTCTCTGTCTAGTCTCTCTCTCTGGTCTCTCTCTCTAGTCTCTCTCTCTGGTCTCTCTTTCTGGTCTCCCTCTGGTCTCTCTCCCTGGCCTCTGTCCCTAGCCTCTCACTGGTCTCTCTCTCTCTGGTCTCTTTCTGGCCTCTCTCTGGTCTCTCTCTCTGGTCTCTCTTTGGTCTCTTTCTGGTCTCTTTCTGGCCTCTCTCTGGTCTCTCTCTCTGGTCTCTCTTTGGTCTCTTTCTGGTCTCTTTCTGGCCTCTCTCTGGTCTCTCTCTCTGGTCTCTCTCTCTCTGTTCTCTCTCTCTCTGGTCTCTTTCTGGCCTCTCTCTGGTCTCTCTCTCTCTGGTCTCTCTATGGCCTCTCTATGGTCTCTCTCCTTTGTCTCTCACTGGTCTCTCTCCCTTATCTCTCTCTTTTGTCTCTCACTGGTCTCTCTCTGGTCTCCCTCCACATTTGTAAGACAACCCAGTGACATTCCAGAGTTTATGGACTTATTCTAACTCAAATTTTTAGAAGCAAAATTTGAAAAATGCTGGAACTCCATTCATCGCTGACACACGTCTAGAATCTTGGTATTTGGATTCCAGTGGGAAATATTCACTTTTTGGTGCTAATTGTGTCTCTGAAAACACACAAAGATTAAAGTTTGGGGCAGAATCTGTGAATTTAATGTAATCCTTCCTCATGCAGATAGAGGCTCACCTTTAACCCCAATAGGGAAATGGGAATAGGGACCAAATATGGACCACGTTCACGGTTTTATAATGACAATAATAATATTTCATTGTATTTAGAGGCACCTTTCAAGACCCCTGAGGACGTGCTACAAAAGATGAAAAACGACACACAAAATATCAAAGTACAGAGTAGAACACATTTAAAATATTATGAAGAAAAAGCCAATTTAAGGACAAAAAGGAGAGTATAAGAAGAGGTTTA